GGTTTTACCATTTAATATGAGTGAGAATTTGAAAACTGAATGAAAGATGATGATTGATTTGTAAATATTAAATTCTTGATGGTCTGTATGTAGTTGCTCCCGCCCTAAAAATTTATATTTTAAATAGTATTTCAATGAGAAGGGATAAGTATAGTGATATCAATGATGTTCTCATTCTCGTTGAAATGAGTATAATTAAGCACCCAAAGTAATATAATTAAGAAATTTCTTGAGATCATTTAGGCCAATTACTTTTGAATTTTATGTGCTTATAATCCTAACAAGTGTATTGGCCACATAATTTTACATAGTTTGTAGGATCATTCACTTCCACCGTTTAATTGTGAGAATATTGAGTTGAATGCCCCCATATCGTCTGATCAACTCATGACATCCAACATCGATTATCATCCAATGCTTACAAATGGTTGATATTTAAAATGCATCAATCACCAAAATCCAACATCCCTTTTAATGGCATTATAAGCTCGCCTTTTATTAGGTGGATGATCTATGGTTGTTGGCTCCTTGAGCTTTTCATTGATTGTTATCTATTGCTTGCTTCCTATGAATTAATATTTGATGTTTGTCATCCACCTATGTTAAATGTATATCTTGCCAATTGTTTGATCTAGAATACTATTAGGAAATGAACAAGTCAACCATCTAGTTTCTATAAATTTATTTTTCCTTATTAGATCAAAATTGGTTCAGTTGTTTGCCTTCTTCCATTCTTGTTAGCCCTAGAATAAATTTTTGTCTACCTTGGGAAGATCGGGTGATTGTAAGTTGTGTAGTGGGCCTCCATTATATGACTAGCCCTTTTTTAATTATCCAAAAATGGATCAGTGACACTACTTTGGTTTGTTCTACTTCACCTTACATGGTTTAGTGGGCCTCCCAATCTTTGACTCTAGGATACCTTTATAGATACTAGGCAATCTAGTATTCTCCCTTAGCTTTTTCTGATTGAACTTAAATGCATATAGTGGTTTTCCCTAATCATTATCAAATGATACTTAAGCTTTTTTATTCTCATATGGCTTGTGCTTTCTTCTATGTTACTAAGATAACTAGTGTCCAACCCCCATGTAAAAGCCTGATTCTTTTCTCTCCATTGGTGCATCACAAGCATAAGATGAAGAGGAAAACTAGTGATTTAGTGAAGAAGAGAAAGAAAGTGAGAAGGGTCGAGAATCGATTAAGCTGGGAGGCAAACTTGTGAGTGAAAGTAAGCTTGATTAAGAAAACTAATTTCAAGTGTAGATGACTTGTACCAAGGCAACCAAGTGAGAGGTTGTAAGCATGATTAATGATGAGGAAGTTTGATCCTTATTTGTAGAACTTTGGAACCATTAGGATTTCATGGCTTGCCTACTTGGAAGGGAAGAAGAAAATATTAGTGCCTCGTATGGATTGTTTTCTTCTCCATTTTTATAATGTAAATCGAACTTAATTGTACTATAAGAAAATCCCTATTTATGGTAATAAGACATTTCTAAAGGTTACTTTTGAATGAATGGGTAATATATAAGATTTGGAATATAGTAAGGAATATATATATATATATATATAT